GATGAGGACACTTGCTAGTATCAAAGAAACCCCGATGCAAGCTCAAGCACCCAGCTATCCCGAGCACTGAGTAGAAACCACCTTCCTCCCCTACCATGAAGCAGCCAGTGTAGACAGAATAAACCGTCAGACAGATAGTGAAGCAATGAGGACAGAGGAAGACTTCAAGGTCTCCAGAAATCTCTGGGATGCTAAATTCAAAGTCTGACTTCCAGTCCTTAACTTACCTCACTGTAGCAGTGACAATGAATGAGGGTCAAACCCTCTTGAGGCTTCCACTCCTGGTTTTCCTTACATTCATCTGGACACCCTCCCCCTCCTCACTCACCTTCCAAAGTGCTGTTCCCCTGAGTTCTGGCTGAGGCCTCCATTTAAGGGGGACACAGTCATTCCCGGCTGCGTGCCCACTTTATGTGCTCCAGATCCAAATATCCACCTACTAGACTGCTCTACTTAGGCGAACCTCAGGTACCTCCAACCAACAAGGCCAAAACTCACTGCAAATCACCAGATCGGCTCCTCACAATGAAAGCCACAGCCACCGGCCATCTACCCACCTAGTGATCCCTACTGGCTGTTTCTGACTCTCTCACACTCCTGCAACCCGTTCCCCAGTCCTGTCGTTTCTACCTCTTAAACGTCTCTCAAAAGCAGCTCTTGCTCCCTCCCCGCTGACACTACCTTCCTCAGCCAACTAAATTCCAAATGTCTCCTGCTCACGTTCTTGAGCATTTCCACATGTTGTTTCTGCACTCCTCCTACCTCAGACCTTGCCTGACACTTAGGAGGTGCTTAACAGTATCTAACATTATTGTCTACTTTCTGAGAGAGGCACTACTCCAAGAGTTTTGCACATACTACATACAATCCCTACAACATCTGCATTTTACAGATGGGGAAATTAAGGCTTAAGGAAGTTAGCTAACTTGTCCAAGACAGTATATATTAAGTAAACCTGGATTCAAATCCAGTTGGCCTCCAGAGCCCATGAATTAAATTCTACTGCTGTTCAATGAATGATACAGGTTTGAATAGTCAACGCCATCAAATGAGATAAAGACCGAAAAGCATCCACACAATTTTGCAATCAAGACATCAATAGTAATGTAAGCAAAACTCCTTTCACTGAGGTGATCAAAGCAGAAACCAGAGTACAAAGGGCTAAGGAGAGAGAAAACAGCACTCGTAATCCACTTAAAACACGTCCTGTCTCAGACCACATGCCAAGTGCTTTACATACATCGTATTTTTTGATCCTCACAACACTGCTAGGTACATATTACTATCCCTATTTTACAGAAGAGGAAACTGAGTCAAAAGAGGTTAAGTCATTTGTAAAAGATTACACTGCAAATAAACGGCAGAAATAGATTCTGACTTAATTCATCTGACCCTAAAAGCCATGCCATCAATCACATGCCAGGGTTGATAAGAGAGTTTCAAGTCAAATGCCAAACTTAAAAAATACATATTTTTAAAATATATATTTAAAGTATACATGCCATGGATACATAAAGTGTATTTCAGTCACTGGCTTGAATAAAAGCACAATTAAGAAAACATTTTTTTTCTAAGTTTAAAATGCTAAACTTTTTCCCATTTCTTTAGTAAGGCAACTCCTTTCAGCAATCTTTCATCAGTTAGAATTTATAGAAATTACAACAGAAAGCATAGTTTTACTTGCTAAATGTGCAGTCTAGGCAACACCAGTACACTCATAAAGACCAATAAAAGGGAAAGGAACAATATAGGTTGATATGATTACATGTCTGTAACCAGACTTATTTCCAAAATTCAGACTTCTGCTGTATTTCTACTCAATTACAATTAATGAATGCACTGTCCCATTTTCAAAATGATATAAAACCATGGTAACTTCCAACATGCCCCTCTTTTTTAAAAACTAAATTCACCATAGTCCCAAGATTGAAAACAATTTATCTTTGTTCTTTAGATTTCTTCAATTGCTGACCACCTTAAAAACTAAAATTAAAAGGACTCCTATATTAAAATGTAATAATTTGGGGTTTACCAGAAATTTAAGAAAGCAAGCCATAAGAGATGCCATGATCAAATGAAAGCTAAAGGTTCAACATGAAATTTTATAACATCCAAACTCAGTGTAAAGACTGGGGCATGTTTTGGAAACAGCACTTCTATTAATAATCAAACAGCACAGAAGTCCAATTGGCAAATGACAACGCTTCACAGACTATGTCCTGTCGTCCCCAGGATTACACTTAGGTATGTAATTATACAGGGAAGGAGCACTATAAACCTTTTGTCAAATTTATTTGATTTGTACTTGGGAAAGATAAAGATTTCCATGTTTATCAAAATAAACTCAACTTGCTAAAAATTCTTTCCTCCATTTCCACTTTCATCCTTTTAGAGAAAGGCTAAGGTCCTCTACCCAACTGTCAATTGG